CTCCACGTAATTTTCAGTGAAATAAGCAGGAAGTGGTGCAAAGGCCTCCTGGTGAGGGTCTCGGATTTCCACTCTTCTGATGTTATATGGATTTGAGTGTTTTGTAGGAGCTGATTTTTTTTCTGTACCTGTGTTGTGCTAACCTCATCATAAAAACACTAGCGTTTGTAGGGTTGAAGGTAGAACATCTGAGTTGAAAATCCCATTGCCGCCACCCATAATCGAATGGACATGAGCAACTCACTTAAGCTTTCTGAGGCTCACCTTTTCTGTCTGCAGAGTGGAGATGAAGGTGCCTTGCAGTCTCACCTCCTCCGATGTGAGTTGTGACTACAGAGGGATGTGAGGCTACTCTGTGTAGCCTCCGTTCGGTGGGAAGATATCACCCTATCTTAATGATATTACATGCCATGTGGAAGGAGGCAAAGCTTATTCAGTCTCGACTGTGTTCTGAGAAGCTGATTTAGCCATTCAACAAAGTACTGAGTGTGTCCCAGGAGAGCTTTTTCCCTTTGTGCCCAGTATATAAACTTCCTGTGACTGCATACAGAGTGACCACAAGCTCGGTGGTAGACAGAAATTTACTCTTACAGTTCTGCAGGCCAGAAGTCTAAGATCAGGTGTTGACTGTGTCATACTCCTTCAAAAGGCGCTAGGAAAGACTGTCCTTGCCTCTCCCAGCATCTGGTGGCTACGGAATCCTGGGCTTTCCAAGGTTGTGACTGCACCGGCTTCTCCTCCATCTTTATATGGCCTTCTCTTCTCTGTGTCTGTTCTGGGGATGTATTCTGTGGACTTTTTCACTGGATTTGACATCCCCCCTAATCCAAGATGATCCCATCTTGAGATCTTTAACTTGATTATATCTTCCAAGACAACTTTTCCCAAATAAGGACACATTTGCACATTCAGGGAAGTGGGATGAACTTTTGGAGGCTACCATTCAGCCCACCACAGTCATCATGAGCCAAAATATTTGATTCTACCAATCTGCCTCCTTCATCTAAAGAATGTGCTGTCCAATCAAAGCTCTGCCCTTATCTCCCTTAGGGTCCAAACCAGGGCCCAAACCCTTTGGTTTGTTTCTAGAACTTTGTCACTAGGAAGTTTTGCTTTAATGAGGCCAGGAAATTTTGCAGCAAGGCTAAGAAGGCCAGACAAGGCCTTGGTCTGCCAACCCAACACTTTGGCAAATGATGTTGGTGGGCATTGTGAAAGGCTCCAGAGTCAGGCTGGGCATAAACTGGGGTCAAGCCAAGAATCTGGCATGCATTGGGCGTCTGGCAAATGTCCACCTCGCAGAAACCAGTCCTGCTGGCTCTACCACCAAAACTCCCTCTAGTCGTCCCTCTCTGGACACCACCTGTCACATCCCTGAGCCCAGTCTCCATCTCAGCTGTCTCTGTTTCGGCAGGCCCAGTGCTCTTTTTTTTTTTTTTTAAATTAAATCATAGCTGTATATATTAATGTAGTCATGGGGTACAGTGTGGTATTTTCATATACAATTTGAAATATTTTCATCAAACTGGTTAACTTAGCCTTCATGTCATTTTCTTAGTTATTGTGTTAAGACATTTATATTCTACTTTTAGAAAGATTCACCATTGATCCACGAATGGATCAATAAATTGTGGTATATGTACACCATGGAATACTATGCAGCCATAAAGAACATACCTCCTTCATGTTTACATGGATGGAGCTGGAAAATGTTCTTCTTAGCAAAGGCCTAGTGCTCATCAATGACAAGACAGCCATGATGTGTATGCAGTGCTAACGTGTGGCCTGCAGGGATCCACTCATCCTCACCACCACCCTGGGGGTACGGCTACTGTTGTCTGCATCTCAGGTGCACAAGAAGCCCAAGTCAGATCCTATTAATGGCTTTGCAGCACGCTCCAGGTAGGACTTAAACTCCGTCCAGGGCCAGCTTCATAGGCGCACGGCCTGTGCAGTTCTACAGGGCCTGCACTCGGAGGGTCTCCCTCTTGGTTTAGTGTCTGTTGTTGCCAACACGAAAGTCTTAATAATTTTCAACAAGGATCCTCATGTTTTCATTTTGCACTAGGTTGCAAACCATGTCACTAGTCCTGACTCTCTGTATGATCTAGAACCCCCCACCCCCACCCCAAGGTGGCCATTTTTCTCTTCCCAGCCCCTGGCCCTGGCCTTGGGGGATACTTGAGAGACGTGTGTCTGGATGCTCTGTTTGCTTTCTTCCCACATCTGCCACAATCCAGGATTATTTTATTGATTCCTTTTCATTCTGTCTCCCCAGCTAGGAGATTCTAGGAGGGCAGTGGGCCTATGCCAGGCAATCAGCGGGACCACTCCTGGGGAGCCCATTTTCTTTCCCTTCAGCTTTTTTCTTGTATTCTTCCCAGCTAAAATCCTTCCCAATTTTTGTGAAACTTGTTTGCCTTTCTTTAAAAAAGAATCTGTATTTCTTCCTCTCAAAAGCAGTAACAGAATTAGAAAGTTAGACTTACGTGGAAGAGTATAGAGAAGAAATTTGAGTCTCCTGTGATTGCAACCCAATGTCACTGTCGGCATAGTGGAGGAGCGGCTGTAGGGCCCTGTTCACTGCCGTCTCCCCAGGGTGCAGGGCCTGGCACCTTGGGGGTGCTCAGTAGGTACTGGTGACTGAGTGAAGAGGATGAACAAATACATGCATTTCAGAAAATTGAGATCATGAATTGGGTTTGGCTATTTCTTCTGCCTTTTTTACTCTCTATGATGCTAATCTTACCCCATGCAGAGTTTTGGTCAGGGTTTTGACTGATTTACTTAATATTCTCTTGTTGCTGAGCCTTCTGTTGTTGGGGTGAACATCTGGGAATTTGTTATCAGGACCACATCTCTGGTTAGTTCTGGAATGAGCATTTCTGGAAGAGGCCACAGGATAGAATGAAAAGGGGCAAAGTTCCTTTTCTGAGCATGTATCTGAAGAGAGCTTCTCGCCTTCAGGGTACAGAGGGTGTGCCTCAGATGTGGAGGCCGATTTCTGAGAACTTCTGTGGTTATAGAAGTGGGCAGGACAGAGGAGGACAGGAATGAATTATGTATTGGCTCTAATAAGTGAAACTAAGGCAAATGGAGTTCATGGTTAACTGAAGACAGAATGTACCTTTCTGGAATCGATCAGGGAGAATGTTGATTGCCCCTGAACAATCCTTCACGGCATTGAGAAACACGCTCTGTCGTGTTCAGGAGGAAGGTAACTGACTTCCTCATTGGGTGCACATCCCAGTGCCCCTGAGCTGGGAGGTCATGGTCACTGATGCGAGGGACCCCACCCCAGGTCCTTCTCCAGCACCCCACCCAGTACTTCCCTACCCCAGTGTTCCCCAGTCCCACTCACAAGCTGAGGTCACGGCGGCTCTGTGTGGCTGAAGCCCGTGGCCGGCTTCTGGGCCTCATCAGCCCTCCTCGGAGCGGACTGCTGCCGCCGTCTTCCTTGCTGCTTCCCCCCCTCCTGACAGGCTCCGCGTTTAAGTCTTCCTGCCACCTGCATCTCTGCTGACTAACCTTTGAGGCTGATGTTCCTCTTCTCCATGCCAGACCGTTCTCCCGTCACTTTCTTCCCCTAGAGGATCTTACCATTTAGTAGCTCTGTGGCTTAGGTAGCTCACTTACCTTCTCATCTCCAAATGGGGCTGATAACTGTACCCCCCTCCTCAGGTGTTCCAAGGATGATAGGGTAGAATTCCCAGCGCCTGTCAGAGGACTTGACACATAGGCGGTGGCTCATGACTCTCCTGTTGTCACTCACTCATTCATTTACTCATTTATCCTGTGGGATACCTCTTCTACCCGGCCTGTGTTCTAGGTGCAGAGGATTGGGGACAGAGGGGTGAAACAGACCCAGACCCTGCTTACTTGGAACCTACATCCTAATGCAGGGAAGTTAGACATGAGCTAAGTAAATAGGCAGTTTATCACACGGAACACAGTGATGAGACCTGGTAAGGGGAGAGGGAGGGTAAAGAGGGTTGGAGAGGCCTCTTCCAGAGCCAGTGCCTTGTGCTGGTTAGACCCCTGCACAGCTGGGAGCTGGGAAGTCTGTGTTCTGCTGGACCTCAATCAGGGTCCTACTATATCCTCTCTCTCTTTTTTTTTGAGTCTCAAGCGGTCACCCTGGGTAGAGTGCCGTGTCATCACAGCTCACAGCAACCTCAAACTCTTGGGCTTAAGCAATCCTCTTGCCTCAGCCTCCTAAGTAGCTAGGACTACAGCACCTGCCACAATGCCTGGATATTGTTTGGTTATAGTTGTCATTGTTGTTTGGTGGGCCTGGGCTGGATTTGAACCCACCAGCTCCAGTGTATGTAGCTGGCACCTTAGCCACTAGAGCTATAGGCACTGAGCCTATATCCTCTCTTATTAGCTGTGTGACATTACTAGCACTCAAGCACTGTGTTTCTCAGTTTCCTCATCTGTGACACTGGGTGGCATCACCTCCCTAGTAGCAAAGGAAACCATGAATCTTTATGGAGTCTAAAAGCTCATTTCCCAAAGTCCTCAGGCCCTAGTGTAGAATTGTGGAAAACATGGATGGAAATGCAGATTCCTGCCTAACACACTTCTCACTCTTCAAGCCCCGGAGGGCCATGGATCTGCCTTCTGAAAGAAGCGCCTGGGAGACTCAGGCACTCTGAGTTTGCAGACCCTGGTCTGCAGGCTTCGTAGGTGGTATAGTCATAGCCTGATGAGGATAGGACTGGATGAAGCTACTCAAGATGCTGTCACCTAGGAACTAGTTAGAAATGCAAGTCAGATTCTCTGGGGGTGGGCCCAGGACTCTGCCCCTTAATACCTCTGAGTACTCCAGCTCCCCCCATCCTGTTGGAGAAGTGTTCCATCCCTTCTAGGAGTGGCAGGGCCTTGTCCAGATCAGACAGTGCCTGGCCCAGGAGTGCCCTAGGCAAGGAGGATGCCAACCCCACCCTCTTCTCATAGCCCCACTCCTCATTCCACTAACTCAGGTTCCTCCTTCCCCTCAGGATCCCAAGTGATGGTGGTTTACTCAGAGGACGAGCTGAGCCCTGCACAATGACTGGTTAGCACAGCAGAGCTGGTAGCTGCGCCTGCCAGCTGTTGGGTGTGAACAGGTGTGAACGGCGAGATCCCCACATCTGGACCAAGGGGAAGCATGTCTAAGAAAGGCCGGAGCAAGGGCGAGAAGCCCGAGATGGAGACAGACCCAGTACAAATGGCCAACGAGGAGCTGCGGGCCAAGTTGACCAGCATCCAGATTGAGTTCCAGCAGGAAAAAAGCAAGGTGGGAGGCCTGGGTGGGATGGCTGGGATGTGGCTGTCCTGGGGACAGTATTGCCCCTGGGGTGTGCATGGAGGGCAGTTTCCAGGATGGGCAGAGGGTGGGCACTTTGCCCCTCTGGGCCTCAGCCAGCCCCTTCACAGGATAGAAACTACTAGGTGCAAATCCTGGCCCCACCAGCACGTGTGGTGACCTTAAACAAGCTACTGAACATCCTGTGTTTTAATCTCTCTTACCTGCAATTGGGAGTTGTTAAAACTTTTGACAAACTCAGCTAAGCAAAATCTAATTGAGCAAAGAAGAATTCTTGAACCGGCAGCCCTCAGAACCAGGACAAATTCAGAGAAGCTGCAGTGTGCCACAAAGTCAGGCAGCATTGCATGAACAAAAGCCAGAAGTGAGGCACCTAGCTCAGTTGGCTACAGTGTGACCTCCACCTTATTTGAACAGGTCTGATAGTGGGTTGCCTGCAATGCACGGAAGTGGCTGCTGCCATTGCCTGAGCCTCAGTTGTCTGTTACAAAAATATGCTCCTGTCTGGCTTTTAGCTAGTTCGCCCATGAAATTAAGTCATAGTTCACAGTACTAGCTCTTTGCATAAGGACACGTGCACTGAGTGCCACCTGCTGGGGTGGCCAGGACTTAGTACAGTATGAGATGAAGAGCTGGGAACGTACTGTCTTGCTCTTATAGGGCAGATTTGAGCTTTGGAGCTGGTCAGGATGAGCCTGGGTGGGTGCTTGTGTGCTGTGGGAGTCCTATTAAACTACAGCCTATACCTGAGGGAGGATCCTGGGCTTCCTAAGCAGACCTAGCTGCAGACCTCACTCTGGTTCCAGTGTTTTTCAAGTTTTTTTTATCTCATTGCACATTTGAACCTATATAGTTAAACTTCCCTGGCACACATAAATTATATTGATCAGAAAATAAAAGAGTAAAAAATGAATATACTGGGCAGTGCCTTTAGCTCAGTAGATAGGGTGCCGGCCACATATACCAAGGCTGGTGGTTTGAACCTGGCCTGGGCCAGCTAAAACAACAATGACAACTGCAACAAAAAAATAGCTGGGTGGTGTTCGCTTCAGCAGCACATATACTAAAATTGGAACGATACAGAGAAGATTAGCATGGCCCCTGCGCAAGGATGACATGCAAATTCATGAAGTGTTCCATATTTTGCTGAAAAATAAAACAAGCAAACAAACAAAATAGCCAGGTGTTCTGGGGGGTGCCTGTAGACCCAGCTACTTGGGAGGCTGAGGCAAGAGAATCACTTAAGCCCAAGAGTTTGAGTTTGCTGTGAGGCTGTGATGCCACAGCATTCTACCCAGGGTGACAGCTTGAGACTGTCTCAAAAAAAAAGAATATACTTACTGTGCTTTGAACTTCTTTTGAAAATAATTTAATTAATAATCTTTAAAAATTTTTGAGCTGTTGGGGACCGGCCCCAAACTGCTGTGAGTTCCCTCCCAGTGGCTGGTGGAGATGAGAAGATGAGGGAAAAATGAATAGTCGAGACATGAAGAGAAAGTTTTTCAAAGAGCTGGGTCAGGGGGACTGATGACATCCTAGGTCTATGTGAGGACCAGTGGCAAGCCCCTTGCTCCAGGCTAGCTCCGTTTTTTATTAAATACATTAATTAAGTGAGCAGGAGGCTAAGCTCTTATGTCATGGTTCTTGCTGGGCTTGCATTTTCTAACCAAACTATTTCTTTAACTACCTTAATTGCATTGATTTACTTCTTGCTTTTATCACTCTACATTACTTTAGATCCTAACACAAACAAAGCTTGGGACAGGAACATAGTCCAGGTGCAGGATGTCAAGGCTGATCCCAATTAGAGCACTGCACACAAACCCCAAGATAAGCAATTAAGCATCTGGGAAGGCTTCCGGGCAGGCGGTGCTATCCCATACTGAGAAATAGGAGGGGAGGAGCACTTTTCCCTCACCTTCCTGAAAGACTTTCTCTCCAATGAGATGAAAGCATTTGTGCTGGGTTTCCCATTCTCTTGCAAATCTTCCCTCCCCCCTGAGCTCACTCCCTCAGAGAGAGCAGTCCACCTGCAGGGAGCCTGGCCTCTCAGTGCCAAAGAGTTACAGCCCTCCCTTGGGGCTGAGTTACCATGGGGGAGGGGTGCAGTTCCAGCAAGACAGTCTGCTTGTCTTAAGGGGCCAGACTTCAAGCTGTTGCTCTTGCACCATGGAATTTCTCAGCGTAGGTCCTGCAGTCTGAATGTCCACCTGCTCTTCTCTAATCCACTTTCCTCCTGTCTTACTCCCTTTGCCCACCATCTACAGTCATTTTCTTAATTCAGTTTTTAACCTACTTACAATAAACAATTGAATATTGGCTTTAAGCTTATTAAATCATTATTTCTAGCAATGCAAGCACACCAAGATATGACTCTTGGCTCGGCGCC